GTTGCAGGCTGCAGCAGCAGGGAAAGGGGGGAGCTGGCCCGGCTCCATAGAGCCCCTGCTGGCCGGGACCCTGTAGTCCTGCTGCCCTGCTCTGGGCTCTGCTGGTGCTGGCCCCGGGACACTGGTGTGGGTCCCGTGCACCCGCTCACTCCCAGTGCCTCCCCAGCCCCGTGGTACAGGCCGGGTGCAGCCCCAATTTCTGGCTCCGCATCAGGGAATGAGTTGGTACGGAGTGCAGGGAAAAGCAGCCCTTCCCCCGCCCTGTGGCTGGCACTGCCTGCTGCAGCCACTTGCAGCCCTCGTGGGGCTGTCCTGAGCAGGCACAGGCAGCCCCATGTGGGTTGCGAGTGGCTGCAGCATGGAGCAGTGGCCACGGGGTGAGGGAGGGGCCGCTTTTCCCACGCTCGGCACCAGCTTGTAAACCGCCCCCACTACCAGCCTGGGCCCCATGCCGGCTCCGGGCTCGCCGCTTGCCACGCCGGGCAGTGTTTGCCACTGCCACCTCCGGGCTGCCCAGCACACAAGCTCCAGGTGGGCAACAGCAGCAGCAGACACTGCCCAGCATGGCAAGCAGGGGGGCTTCAGCTGCTGCCGCCACGTGCAGCCCCAGTGGGTGAGCCCAGAGCTGGCACGGGGCCCAGGCTGGCGGCGAGAGGTACGTTACATGCTGGTGCTGAGAGCGGGAAAAGCGGCCCCTTCCCCGCCCCGTGGCCGGCGCCCTGCACTGCAATCGCTCGTAGCCCGCATGGGCGGCTGCCTGTGCCTACTCAGGACAGCCCTGCGCGGGCTGGAAGTGGCTGTAGCAGGGAGCACTGGCCACGGGGCGGGGGAGGGGCCACTTTTCCCAGGGCTCCATCCCTTCCTGGGGTCCTCTCCTGGCTCCCCCTCCCCTCTTACCTGAGTTTCTGGTGCAGTGCAGCCACATGGTCCCTGCTAGGACTTCTGGTGGGGCCAGGTGGGCCCTGCTCTTGCAGGAACTTGCCAGGCTTCCCCTGGGTCCTACTGCCCCTGGTTCCTGTCATTTTTTACAGGAACCAAAGACAGATAAATATTAATTTTCTAAATTTTTTAGGGGCCCCATGGGCCAGATAGAATGGCCCCGCAGGCTATCCAGAGCTGGGGCCAGCTGCAGCCGCGAGGCTGCAAACAGCTGCTGCCTCTCTGGCCCCAATGCATGTTGAGGAAAATGGTCTCATGTGCCATGTTTGGCACGCATGCCATACAGCCTTGCCATTTTGAAAGCATCTAGCCCAGGGGTGGGCAAAATGCATCCCGCAGGCCAGGTGCAGCCCACCAGGCCATTCTATCTGGCCCGCGGGGCCCCTAAGAAATTTAGAAAATTAATATTTGTCTGCCCCAGCTGCCAGTCATGCGGCCCTCGATGGCTTGCCAAAACTCAGTAAGCAGCCCTCTGCCCGAAATAATTGCCCGCCCCTGATCTAGCCTCTCTAAGTAATCCCTAACCTGTTCTTCCACTACTCTACTCACTGCTCTTTTTCTCCTTCCCTATTTTTACTGCCAACTGTGCTTATTATCTGACCTTATTCATGAAGACTCAAGTAAAAAAGGCATTAAATACTTAGGCCTTCTCTGCATCATCCATAACTAGATTGCCTTCAACATTCTGTAAGGGACACATAGTTTCTTTGATCTTCCTCTTACTTTTGACATACCTGTGGAATCCCTTTTTAATTACCTTTTATGCCTCTTGCCAGTTTTATCTTACATTGCACCTAATTAGCTTTCCTAATTTTTTTCCCTGCATTCCCATATGATACTCACATTCTTCCTTAGTAATATGACCAAGTTTCCACCTTTATATATGATTACTTTTTGAGTTTCAACTCATTGAAGAAATTGCTCTCTATCTAGGCTTGTCTCTTGTTGCGCTTCTCAGTCTTCCATCTCATTGGGGTAGCTTGTTCCTGCACCTTTAATACAGACTCCTTAAACTACAGCCAGCTGCCCTGGGCTCTCTCTCCCCTCTGACTTGCCTCCCAGAGCATTCTGCCCACCAGTTCCCTCTGTTTGTTAGTCTTCTTTTTTGAAGTGTAGTGCCTTTATTCTGCTGCTTTCCTTGTTTTTCCTTCCCTTAGGATCTTGAACTCTTACCATTTCGTGGTCATTGTCACCCAAGTTACCTTCCTGCCTTCACATTCTCAACTAATTCCTCCCTGTTTGCAAGCAGAACATTGAGAAGAGCTTTTCCTCTACTTGGTCTCTCCATCATGCGTACCAAAAAGTTATCGCCAACATATTCCAAGAATTTGCTGGACTGTCTGTATTTGATAGCCGTGTTAGTCTGAGACGAAAAGAAATGCAAAACTCTAGAACTCTTGGTTCAGAGATAATACCTTTTATTAGACCAACTAAGAAATTGCAAAAAAAATATCTTTTTCTGCTATCTGTCAGGCTCAGAGAAAGTTAAAGATGGTAAAAAGTCTCCATAGGTAGGAAATAAACTTCATTTTTGCACAGAGGAAGCTGAAGATGGAAGTCTGTCCCTCTGGGTCCATGAAAGTGTCTTTGTGAATTGTTCTTCAGTGTGCAGATCAGGCAGGATTCCTTCCCTGGTGGTGTCAGATGGCAAGCAGGGAGGTGTAGAAATCTTGTTCAGCAGTGAAGTTTAAAATTCAAAATTGGCTAAAATTAGGCATCTACCATGTTTCAGGGATGTATTTGATAGCTGTGTTGGTCTGATATATAAAAGGTAATTATCTCTGAACCAAGAGTTCTAGAGTTTCGCATTTCTTTTTCTCTCAGACCAACACGACCAAGTGTATTTTGCTTTCTTCTAATATGCTTGATTCAGGTTCATGTTCAAATGTGTACTTTTGCCTAAGGAAGATAGACACCTAAATATCTATTGATTGTCAATGGAACTTAGATACCAAAATCAGCTAGGCACTTATGAAAATCTTACCCTTTATTATCAGTGCTCTATCTGCAGTATACACATGAAATTGTTATTCTTTTGTTCTTGGTTTGACAAGTTCATAGAACATGACATCTCTGTGAATTGTTATTGCCAGTAACAATAAGAAAATGTATACATATTTATAGATTTCTGTGAGAGTACCTAGTTCAGTACTCAAATTTAAAAACATTTACACTTTTGACTTTTATATGCTCCCTAGTTTTGATTAACCTTTTGTTGAGTAATGGTAGAAATATGTTGTTTTATAATGTTTATGCATTCTATTAATGAATTTTTAGGTCTCTTGCAGCTGAATGGGGTAGATATGGCATGAGATTCAATGTGATTCAACCAGGTCCAATAAAAACAAAGGTACATTTCGGTCATTAACTAGGGAGAACATGATCTTATGTATACTGTCATACAAACCTGCCTTTAAGATGCTGGTGTAACCCTTTCTAGAGCATTTGCAGTATCCTTATGATCAAATGTCATTTCTTCACTAACTCAATTTAGTGCTTCATATGTCCCATCTGTAAAAGAAGCTTATCTGTAAAATGTTGCAGGACAGACTTGTGTGTGCACCTGATTTGATGATAAAGTAGTTATATAGCTTCAGCAGGGGCAGTGTCATACAATAAATAGCCCTGTACTTTAGCTGAAAATCCTTATAGTCTCGACCAGTGTGTGTTATCAAATGCCTGCTCATGTTTTAGAACTTTAATTAAGTCCATATGAAATATTATGTTTAAATGAATCTTATTTTCAGCAACAACATTTATATGAAAATGCCAGGCACAGGGAGACTTAAAATCAGCTCAACGGCATTCCTCTGTTTATCTGAAAACAGTAATTTTTGGACAATTCATCTGATCAATTCCAAAATTTCAAGAAATAGTCTACAGACCAGTGGATAGAACCTTTGTGATTTTGGTGAAAATGAGAAATCTGGAAGGAAGAAATGGGGAGATTTGAGCATATAGAACCCCTCATGAAGCAGAGAATGTGGAAAGTAGGGAGAAAAGGTCACAGTCTTCTCTTCTCACATTTCTCCTCACACACACACACTCTCTCATTTTATCCCCTCCCCCCCCCCCCCCCCCCCCCCCCCACACACACACACACACTATGGGAAGAGGATGGGGAACAGTGATGTGGTAGAAGGGAACAGAAGAGGCACACAGAGCCAGAACAAGACAGTTTCTAAGCAATTTTTAGTTCAAGTTGCTATTACTCTATTGTAACATTAATTTTATCTCTAAGGAAAATGTCTACACATTGGCTGTGATGGGATTCTTGCCTTTGGCTTTTTTCCAAGTAGGTTTAGATACCTGCTGGGAAATTTGTCTTTGTCTTCTGTTTTGAATGGGTGGAGGAATAGGTGATAAAATCACTAAGCTCACCCTCTGATAGTGGAGTAGATTGTACACATTTTCTTAATAAGTTTAGAATGATACAGTACTTTACATTTCAATATTGTTAACTTCCGTAATCGTATCCAAGTTAATCCATTGAAATGAATGAAACAATTCACACTTCTATCTGTTGTTTCAGGTGCTTCACAAAATAAAGCAGGCATCACAGCATCAATTAAACTTGTCCCATGTTCTCAGTATTTTATGCATCCATATTAGCTTGAGACTTTTTAAATGATAGCTGAGCTGCTGAAGACAGGCAGGAAGGAGGCCAAGTCATGCTCTTTTCAGCATTTTCCTCAGAGGAGACCTCAAAATTCAGGAAATACCATTTTAATAGATCTTAGGAGAAATAAAGCACTATATCAGTGCAATACTGTTAGATATTCAAACCAGCATTTTAAAAATTCTGATAATAAGGCAGCTACATTTCTTCAGTAGAAGCAATATTATAATGAAAATTGTCCTGTATTTAATTACATTTTAATTGCATATAACATAGCTAACCTCACATATTTTATTTTTCTGATTTTGTCGAGTAAAGATTTTTCTAGAAAAATCCATTTATGTTTTTTTCTTTAGTCCTCAGTGTACTAAACGTTATCACCATGAGCAATAAAGCACAAAACTATTGGTTCTATTAATTGCTCCTTTTCGTGCTTTTTAGTTTGCTTATTCTATGCTGTGTATGATTTTAGTCTCTTTAAGTTTCCTTCATATCTTTGTAGCAACTCTGAAGCTCACCCATTTTATCCAGGTATAAGTCTCCCAGATTTCTGGAAAGAGACTGAGTAAAGGCATATTTACACTGTCAAAAGCCCATGCTATCCAGTTCCCTGGCATGTCCAGTCCATCATATTCTAAAATGGATGCAATGTAGCCAAGTTGGAGCAGCGATGGGCACACCCTGCTAAACTGTCTTGGGTATGCTTCTTGGCTTAGCGCCCAGTGCCACACTCGGGCAGCTACCTTTATCTGTTTCATGGTGTAGCACATAGAGCAGGGATACCAACATTTACTGTGATGCTTCCAAATGGAGTTGTTTGATCTGCCTTACCACACTTCGTAAAGCATCCCTTTACTGCTCAACAAATGTCTAGAAAAGCTGCTTGTGCAATTGGTTCACTGGATTTGTACCAGTGCAACTGAATTTAACCCGTGTCTCCTATTCCCCTTGGCCCTCTCCCACTGACAGCTTTGCTTCTGTCATAACATCCTTGGTGTTGGTTAGTTAGGGTATTAAGTTTGAGAGCAGGAATCAAACTTTAGTTTAGATGTTTTTAGTATAATGTTTTGCTGAATATGTATCTTAATTTTGCAGGGTGCTTTTAGCCGTCTTGATCCAACTGGCATGTTTGAGAAAAAACTTATTGAGAGGACCCCTTGTGGCCGTCTGGGGACTGTAGAGGAAATTGCAAATCTTGCCACCTACCTCTGTAGTGAATATGCAAGTTGGATTTCTGGAGCAGTAAGTTTTAGTTGCTCTAGTTCATGCTTTAGTATACAATTGGTGGCAATAGTGTTGACAATTGTTAATGCATGTTTGGTTCCTGCCAGGTATTTGAGAATTTAAAGAAAAGACATTGTTAATCTGGAAACCTTTAGATTCATATATTAATAGATTTGGTTGGGTGTATTTCTTGGTAGCTGCTGGCTTTAGAACATCTTAAATAATTGTTGCATTTATTCATGTTATGGCAGGGAGGGTCGGCTACGAGCTCCACCTTCGGGCCACTCACATCATTGGCCCACCCCTTGCCTAGGGCAGTCTGCCCAGCCTCTCCTGCCATACCTTTGATGTTACAATAATGGTTGTTAAATACGGGAGGCTGCCGTAATTGTGGCTGTAGTGTAGTGACCAAATACACAGCTCTAAGCCATGTCTACGTGGTGTCCCATGCCTCACAGATGGTATCTAAGCTGCTGGCAACTCCAGCCCCTTGCTAGGCTGAACTCTGGCCCTTGTTAGGCCTCTAACACTCCGCCCTTTGCCAGGCTTCAGTCACTCCGCCCATTCCTGGGTCTCACCCATTTCTCCCCTCACTGGGCCTCACTCATTCTGCTCTGTTCTGTGTAGTCCTTCAGATCCCACCCAGGCCCTACTCTACACAGTCCTTCAGACTACATAGCTCACACACTCCTGCTGGCCTATGCACAGTCCTTCAGGCTGCCTGCAGGCCCTACTGTACACAGACTCCGGCTTTTTGCCCCACACTGGGCTGAACTCAGCCTCTAGCCCCTCTTTGGGCCCCTGGGCCTTACAGCTCTTGGGCCTCAGGCCCCACTCAGTGGGCCTTGGCCCCTGCCTCAGGCTCTACTCTATGAGCCTGGACCCAGCCTCAGCCGTACTCACTGGACCTGGGCCCTGTGCCTTTCTGTTGGGGTGTGTTCCCTTAGCCTTTCCCCTCCACAGGGTACCCACAAGGCAGTGGGAACTGAGGCTATACGGCACCCCATACTTGCCTTTCACTGGGGTGGCACAGGCATGGCATTTCCTGGAGACTGCCCCGCCATGGGCAGCTCCACCACACCATCCAATCCGAGCAGGGTGTAGTTTCAGGTCTTACCCAGGACCACTGGGAACCTCCTCCATCCCCGAAGTTCCTACCCCAACCTCCAGATGTTCCAGGAACTGCTTTCCTCAGGCTGTTCAGTGTTGCTCCACTGACTTTCTAGAAACTGCCAGCACAGCTCCTAGGGCCTCGGCTTATACCTTGGCTGCCCAGCCCTCATCCAGTCAGATGGCCCCTGGTCATGTGATTGCCTAATTGGGCCAGACCACACCTGCCGGCTGCTCCACAGCCTTCTTAAACCTCTTAAAATGGCTGGCACAACTTGTGCTCTGCCACACATGTATGTATTTTTCTATTTGAACTTATATAAGCTAAGGTCAGTCTTATGGAATGTGATAATTTTAGTTGTTTGCAAACTACTGTTAGCTATCTTAAATGAATTGCTCATTTTTTTCCCCTAAGGTTATTAGAATGGATGGTGGAGAATATGTTTCTATGGCAGGAGAATTCAATGATCTGAGGAAGGGAGAAAGTGACATGCTTAATATTCATATACAAAAAAATACTTTACAATGTGTATGGCATCTCAAATAATTTTCTTTTCTTATATTAGATTACCAGTGAGCAGTGGGATGTGATGGAAGCAATGATCAGGAAAACAAAAGGTTCCTAAAATATTCTTTTCACCATGTGCCTTACAGATGATATTATTAAGAAAATACCACTGGCTATAAATTACATGCATATTAAGCAATGGCCTTTCAAACGTATTGTAACAATTCTAATAAAGCATTTTGAAATTGACATGACTTTGAATGTGGCCATATATGTCTCATACTTTGAATCACATTTGTCCAAAAGACAAATTAAGAATTTTAATTCACACAAAATGCACTACAACTTTGAATAAAGTGTCTTAAATGTCTGTCTCATGCTTCAGAATTAATTACATGCCTCTGCTTCTTTTGTATATTTGTGTTCCTCCCAGGCCATGGGCAGATGTACATTTGAAATTTTCTAAACTGAAACAGAATTTGGAGCACTTCAAGTCTGAAGGACTTTAGGTCATGGGTAGATGTGCAGATCTTCACTGTGACACTTCTTTCCACAGAGCACTTCAAAATGGCTTAAACAGCAGGCAGTACCATGCTGTCCAGGCTGGGGATGTGATAGGGAGTTGCTTAGTCCATGTAGGGGCACAGAGGTTAGGGACAGAAGTTACACGTAAACCAGTTTAGATGATCAGAAACTAGTTTAAACCTGTAACAGAACAAAAGTTCAGTGCACATAAACCAGTTCGAAAATGACTGAAACTAGTTTAAGATAAACCTGGTTGGATGTAGCATCAGACTTAACTGATTTGGGTCAAACCGGCTTATGAAACTTCTGTCCCAGCCCAATTCCCAGTTCAAGTTAAATCAGTTCCCCAGCATCCCAGCATGCTTTGTAGCCCTGGGATGGTCTGTACTGCCTACTCTAGAGAGCAGGGCTGGCCCTGCCCCTCTGCTCCCTAGTCTGAGCAGTGAGAGGTGGCTCACTAGACCACCCCAGGCAAACCCCTTCTAAGGTCTGGGGCCAGGGAGGGGGGGTTAAACTTCCCCCAAGTACAGAACTCCCCTGCCCTGCTTGCTTACTGCTGGCTGTGACTGTGGACAGCAAATCCCAGAGGCACCTGGAAGCAGGAAGAGGAAGTGATGAGACCCTGCTGCTGTGATTGTGGACTGCAAATTCCAGAGACTGTGGGGGCAGCACGAAGAAGTAAACACACAGCCCATGCTGTGTTTATAGTTCTTCAGAGAAAGGCCTGTTCTTGTTCAAGCTTTTATGAATTCAGTGCCACTACCTTTTTCCCCACCCACCCACTCCTCAGCCTGGCAGCTCCCCACCACTAGGCAGAGCACAGCCTGGCCATGCCCCTTCTGTTCCAGGACGGAGTTGGGCGGGGGGGAAACTTGGAGGGTTTCTTTTTCCCTTCCATTTGGCAGCGCCTGGCAGGCATGTTCTAGCACCCCCCAGCTTTTGGCTTGAGCCACTGCAGGCATGTGACTACATTTCCTAAATCAAAAATGGTTGCTTATTTGCTTATTGGTTCAATCTTTGCATCTTAGCCTAACCTGCAAAGACTGAATCAATGCATCCTCAGGCTTTTTGACTGTACTTAGCCAGAGAGACAAGGGTAGAGTTTGTGGAAAGCTTAGAAATTAGCAGCCTTCACAAACTGGTACTATTCTAGTTTGAGATACAATGACCTTGTAGTCTATGTTATATCAGCACCTAGATAATTCTGCGCTCACAGATGGAATGTGTTATATGTTAAACGGGGGTTTAGGTTGTAGCCGTGTTGGTCTAAGGATATAGGCAGACAAGGTTCCTTGGGTGAATTTGATATCTTTTATTAGACCGGTTGGTCTAATAAAAGATATCAAATTCACCCAAGGAACCTTGTCTGCTTATATGTTAAACAGCATCCATAAGCAAATGTATCCAGCCATGAGAGTGGGACAGAGTGCTGCCAGACTAGCAAGCACGGAATATATTTTAAACACAAAAAATAAAACTACATTCATTACTATTAGCAGATTCAACAGAAAGAAACCTTAGATTCGGACATGCACATTCACGTATTTCACATCATTTCCCCTTTTTGAAATGATAGTGGCATAAGGCCTCTCAGGTGCCTTTGGTTTCCTGGGTAACACTGATCACCTTAACCATTTCACTGAGAATGTGTGACACTGACTACTGTGCCGGATTCATGTTTATGTTTCCTTTCTGGGTCATGACTATCATTGCTATGAATGTACTCTTGATGAGGTGGCCTTCTTCCATGTTGGATTCACACATCTCCTCTTTGTAGGTAGGTTGCTCAGTATTAGATCCTGGCTGGTCAGTGTTGCTACTTTATGGTGTAGCATTACTGGTCATCACTGAAGGCTGCAAACTGGCTTCTTCAATGTAGGTGGGGCTCCAACTACTGTTTCTGTACTCTGTTCAGCAATTACTCCTATGTCTCATAATTCATCAGTATGGCAACACCAAACAATATTAGGTACCATTTGCACTTGGTGCAGTAAAGGATCTATTTATACAGTCACAACTGCAGGCTTCCATTTATTAAGTCCTCACTAATCATGAGCCAGTACATTTTCACTAACATGTAGCTGCAGCAGTGTTCTAGTTCCCTTTATCATAGCTGTTCCCTTTGTCATGGCCTGACTTAGCTGGCAACTTCTAACATGTTGCTGCAAGTCCAATTTTAGTAAATCCAACCCTGATCTGATATTCTAGCCCAGAAATGACATTGCTAGTATCCATCAGTACTACATTCAGATATGTTAGCAAGAAGTGGGCCATCTTCTGCTGTACTGACCCTGCCTCTTCTTTCATGGATAGCAAGCCATTTTTGAAAGGCTACAAATTTAGCCAGTCAATTTTTGGTTGGATGGTATGGTACAGAAGGAGAGATGCCAGATGACATTTTTCTTCATGAACTCTTGAAACTCATCTAAACTAAATTGTAGGCTATTGTTAATTACAGCTTGTTCTGGCAATCCTGTCCTTGCAAACTGACCTCTCAGGTTTTTTTGCTGTCTATACTGTGGTTTTCAAACAGAAAACTTGTGGCCATTTGGAGTAGACATTCACCACCACTAGGTATATCATCCCTAAAAATGGTCCTGCAAAATTAATATGGAGCTGGCGCAAGGAAATGGATGGCCATTCCTACAGGCATAATGGTGCTGGTTTGGGCATCATCTGTACCTGTTGGCATCCCATATGTTCCTTAACAAGGTGTTTTATTTGTTGGTCATTATCTGGCCACCATACAAAGCTGCTGGCTAGAGCCTTCATTTTTACAACTACTAAGTGACCTATGTGCAGCTCTTCTAAAATTCTTGTGCACAATTTGCTAGGTATAACAACAAGAATCCCCCACATTACACATCCTTGATGTATAGTAGGTTCATCTTTGCATGAATAAAAAGGTGCTAAATTAGGATTTTCCATGTATTTCCAACCTTCAGGGTGGTTTAATTCCTCTGTGCCAGTGTGGGATCTTGGTTTCTTGCCTGATCATGCCACAGTTCACCGGGGCATACTCCAGCTGGAATAAATTAACAATTTCAGTAGATATTACTATAGAAGGCTCTTCCACAGGTAAATGAGAGTCTGTTAGCATTTCCATGTGCCTTTGTTCTCTTGTATTCGATTTTATAACTAACCAGCTAAAAAGAGAGCCTACCATTGCATACAGGTCACACTTGTCCCAGACGCTCCTTTCCTGGGGTAGAGAATTGAGAGTAGGGGGTTGGTAATCTGTGACCAATGTAAATTTTCTCCCATACAGGTATTGGTTAAATTTCCTCACTCCCCACACCAACTTAAAGCTTCTTTGTCTATCTGTGCAGAATTCCATTCAGCTGCCATAAGTGATCACCATAGAAATGTTATGGGCTGGACAGCTTTCACTAATTCTTTAAAGGTTTAGCTTGCTGGCTTTTCTGGGGGGAGCAGGCTGTGCAGTAAACTCATTGTTTTTCCTCTACTCAGTAATGTAGCAACATGATTCTGAGGGGAAACTCATTTACCTTAAAAAACCCTGCTCCTATATACATATACATGTGTACACACACACACACTTTTTTTTTTTAGGTAAATGAGTTTCCCCCCAGAATCATATAGCTGTATATCAATATATGAGCAGGGTTTGTTTTTTTGTTTGATTTTTTTAAGGTAAATGCCAGTATATGCCAGGTTTTTTTAGGTATATGTTAGTCTTCCAGAATGGTAATATAAACTCCAATTGTCCCATTTTGAGTTCCAACAGATTTCAAGGACTCACAATTAAAGCAAATTCTTCAGGTTGATGTAATCCATGCCTTGCTCATGGGTACAGGACTTTGCACTTGTCCTTGTTGAATCTCACTGGATTGATTGCAGATCATTTCTCCAGCCTATTCAGGTCATTCTGGATCTTAACCTTACTCTCCAGAGTATCTGTGCCACCTAACTTCATGTCATCTATAAATTTGTTAAGCCTGCACTCATCATCTATGCAGATTCAACATGTTCATATATCTCACAGAATGGATCAAATTACAGTAACTGTCAAAAGAGACATAACTTTCAAAGAGCCCTTTAGAGTGAGTAGTTCAGATTCAACTCTCTAAGGCAGTAATTCTCATGCTTTCTACTTGAAACACTCATTAGACTTGAGATACCCTTAAGAAAATGCCAAGTCCTGGCTTTCACTCATTTTTTGACTGGAAAAGTAATAGAGCAATTCTTCTGTTGCAAAGAACTCAGAAAGATGACAACAGGTTCCAGAACGTTTTTGATGCTATGGATTCCTATTTGAAATTTCTGAATGTATCTCAATAAATCCTGGGTAGGTATTTACACATCTCATAGTGTTAATGTTGAGCAATATCCTGTGACACTCTTGAAAGCATCCTGCAACACCCTAGGCTGGGGCCCATGGCTCTGGTTGAGAATCATTGCTCTAAGGCACTGAAGTGTGTCAGAAGGTATGTCTACACTTCAAGCTAGTCTATGTTCTTACCTGTGTTTTAGCTTAAGCCACATTGTCATACACCTATTAAACCTTTATAGCCATGCTTATATGTGCTCTAAAACTGATGCTGGGGGATGGGGCTGTGGGTTTAGGCAGATGGGGGTGGGGGCTGCCTGTGCATGCGGGTTCAGGCAGGGTCTCATACCGCTTACACAGCAGCAGCAGCTGGGTTGGGGGTGGCCTCTCCCACACAGTGGGAATAGCAAGGGATGGTCTCATGCTGCTCTGAAGTGGTGGAGCTTGTGCTGCTCACATGTTTCAGGCTTGCTCAGCAGCAGTGAGGCAGGCAGGCTCATGCTGCTCTTGCAGGAGCGGGGCTGCACATGGCAAAAGTCCCAAGAGACCATGCA